CTACCACAGAATCTAATACTTAATTTAATTTATATAAATTATAACTTATAATTACAAATAATAGTAATTTGCAACTCATATTACAGTTCATACCAGTTTGGTATGAACAATATCAGACATAAATGTTAAAATAGTAATAAAAATAGAAAACCATTAATAGAACAATTCTAATTGTTTTATTGATTAGAAATTAAAATGACATAGGCGGCACAATGGTTAGCATTCCTGTCTCACAATGCTGGGGCCCTGGGTTCATTTATGGACCTGGGGTGCTCTCTGTTTGGAGCTTGTTCTGTATGTTCTCCCCCTGTTTCTATGGATTTCCTATGGATGCTTCAGTTTCCTCCTCCAATTAATTGGCATCTAAGAAAATTACACTTGGTGTGAACAGTAGGTGTCTTTGTGTGTCCTGTAATGGATTGCTGTCCGGTCCAGGTCATGGCCTACCTGCCTGATGCTTGCTGGGAGAAACTCTGGGTCCTCAATGATGTGAATTTGATGAAGTGGTTAGAAAATGGATTGATGATGTAAAGAAAGTACATTAAAACTTTATTACATAAAATTACATTAATACCAACATGTAAAAATTATTTGACAGATGCATTTGGATCATGAATATATTTTGGATGTAATCAAATATTTTCTAGTTATTGACAGTTATTATCACTGAAAGCTACTATTTATTGATTATAGCAGGATAAATAATTGATTATTATGCCAGCTAAGGCTATTTTGCATTCCTGTAATGTCCTAGAAAACTTCAGGCTTTATGGACTCTACCAGTCAACACTAATCCTATAATTTACTGTAATGTTTGTAAACTTTCAAAAGATGAATGGCTAGGACAAGGCAGATTACCCTCTATGCCCTTCCTCTTTTTTTCCTTCTGGGTACACTGGTTGTTGCTGTCACCCAAGACTTGAAGAAGTAACTGGCAGTTTATTTGTATTTTTGATACAAATGGGAAGATTAGTAAAAAAGAGAATTAAATAAACTGAGCGAGTTAAATAATTAAAGTAAATAATGGTAACCTCCCAAAATGTAAAGATTTTGCCAAGAATAAGTTATTTTTCTCTAGCACAGCTTTATGAAAAGAGTAATAAATCAGGAACACTGGGTTAAACACATATTTGTTAATAAGGATCCAACACAAACTAAACAACACACAACATTAGCATACAACATACAATTTACAAACGAGACATCTCAAAGGCCTACATCCTGACTAACCACAAAAAACCCCAGACCGCTACCAAGCATTTGAATTCTACATAACACCTAACAGACTCCAAAATAGAGAGAAACCTGCCTTCTGCACCAAACAGAATATGACCTAGAGTTAAATCTCTCTCCGAGAGATGCTACAAAGTGAATGGGAACCTATCGCCCTCTTCTAAAAATGCAACCCCTTACCAGGAGTGGCTGTTTGTAACCTAGCGATTCTCTATACATGAAATCAGAGTTTCCTAAAAATGGCAAGCTCTTTTAATAAGTTTCAGATGCTTAACTCAAATCTGGTAGAGACTGATTGGAACAAGAACCTCCCGCCTGCCAATGTCTCTTCTCCACTCCTCTTCACTTGTGTTTCTGTCCTTTCTACGGTGTTCTTCTCTCTAACCTGTATCTGCCCCCCTTCCTGCCTATTTATAACCTCTCTTTCTCTACTCTTGATCACTCTAAATCATTTGCCATGAACTTAACCACGGTAAACTAGATGATTCCTTTCATCAGTGTGTTTCAGACCCTTTTCCACTTGGCAAACACCTCACATCCTTTTTGGTTTTGAAGCTCCTAAATATAGACACTAGCTGGATGTTTGAAAACTAGTGTAACTAGTGTTTTATGATTGTCCATAATACAATATACTGTATTGCGAGAACTACTATATCCTTTCTAATTATGCAACTTCTATTCTGTATCATTCACAGTATTCTTTGAAATCTCTCTTGCCTGCATTGGCATAAGAGAAGAAATATATACCGATTATTGAGTTTTCTGAAAAATTAGATGAAATTTTAGGAAATGTAATTTAAAAGTCTACATAGTATACCATTCATGTACTCATGTACTTGTGTAAACTACAACTACTCATGTAGTTTACACAAGTTATTATGGACCATTATTAACTTGATAAACCATTATTAACATAAAATTTAAATTCCAGTTTCTGGGATACATATTTTTAAAAAATGTTTTTAACTTTAATTCATATGGACATCCAATGCATATTGTTTACAAATTTTCCTTCCGCTATTTCATATAATTCCAATCCAATCATTATGTCATTATTCAAAGCTATGAAACTGAGACATAAGAGGTGACAATAAATAATGTCTACATCATATCAACAATGCAAATATGGTTTAAAAAAGTTCATGGAAAGTGAGAAATGTACTAACATTTGTTCATCTGTAGACAGAGTGTTTATTGAAATAAAATTGTAAGACTACATATCATTTATTCTTGTCACTTGATACAGTTTTGGACTTATCCTTGCTTACAGTAGTTGCACCATTTTGTTCAAAAAGAGGATATACTGTAACTCCTTCTGCATGATTTATGAAACCATGAATTTCTAAGGTAAAATTTAGACTTTTGAGTTCTCTTTTTTGAACTCCATGCTGCAGATTGTAATTTCTTCACTCAGACCACCCCAATCACAGGCCCACTTAATAAATTAAATCCATGCTTCACATAAATCATATTGGAGCACTTGACAGAGATTGACTGCTTCTGACTAATCTCTGGGCACTCTACAATTTTGTATTTTAGAAGCCAATTTAAAATCAATCAAACCTGATATGAAACATTCCATTTAAAATGTATTTTCTACCCTGCGCTTTCATGTTATATAAGCTATCGCTAGAAAAGCTAAAAAAGAAACAGATTCAATGAATCAGACATACTGTACAAACCTGAATCACAAAGCAATACAGCAACAAACCAAATTGAATGAATTTTCAAGAAGTATTATTACAAACATGTGTACATTAGCCCTTAGTTGTTGTACAAAACTGAACTATTTATACACTGCACATTTGTAACTACATTTAGTTTCTATCAGTTTGCAAAACTTTAAGACTGAGTACAGATGATTGACAGATGCTGTGTAGGCAACATTTAATCTTGTTAAATTCTAGTTACCAACATAAAAAATGTGGACCACTAGCACAGAAAAGCAAAGATAATGAAGGTTATGCGGTCCTTTGAGTTCTCTTTCCTTCCTGAAACCATCCACCATAATCTCAAAGGACTATAGTATCTCTATGAAAGCAGCTCTGCCATTAGTTCCAATTACCCAGCATACTCTGTGGATGTTTCTTATGCTCGTTGCTGAATCTGCATTTACAGTTTCCCATTTTGACCTCTACCCCAACTTTCAGAGTGTTTTTGGTAACATTGTTTTTCTCTTGTTATGTCACTGTTAATCCTTGAACATAATTACCATATGGTCATTTGTTATATTAATATGTATTAATTTCAACATTTGCAGCACTGTTAATTAAGCCAAGGTCAGAAAAGGGAACAAAATCTTCAAACTGTCATACAAGCAAAATTGCAAAAGCCTAGATAAGCAAGTCAGATTTTTATAGTATAAGTCTTATCTGACTCAGTCCTTTGCATTTGTGATAACTATAAAATAAGCTAAGCTTGTTGTATTTATTTGTTAATTAAATTTAATATAATTTTTATAATATTATCATGGTACCATAAAAATAATGCTGTATTGCTATAGGGAACCATCTGATTATGTCAATAGTCATACTAATTTTTATATAAATTAATATTTTGTTAACTCTTTATCAAGTAGAATCCATTCATAATTATTTTTCATTTCTTGTGTTCTTGTTTGCTCTCAAATTTCCTAATTTCCTTATTTAGCTCTAATATCCAAAAAATTGAAAGTACGTGTCCTCAGGTTTTGTTTATTTAATTCAATGTTATTAATCAATCAATCAAGGTTTATTTATCAATGCACTAACAGTACAGCATACAGCGGTGTTGTCGGCAATGACATGCTTTGTCCACGAGCTCGTTAAGAGGGATAGAAGAGTAGAAGGACAGGAATTTATAGGGATTAGATTAACGAAAAGAAAAAAAAATTAGGATGCAATAAATTACACAATTGCAATTTACAATACAATTTACAGATTGTGCGAAAGTAACACAAGGATAGGAGGTATTTAGCGCTCTTCATATGTATCCTGAGAGTGCCAGTGCACCTATCAGTTCAAGGAAGTAATTGCAGGCATCTGCTGTGGTTGGCTGTTTAGCGGTCTCACTGCCTGGGGGAAGAAGCTGTTATGAAATCTGGTGATCTTGCTCTGTATACTTTGGTATCGTTTTCCGGATGGTGGTAGGGAGAACAAGTTGTGGTTAGAGTGACTGGGGTTTCTGGATAGAGCCGCCCTTCTTGATGCATCTAACTGAATAGATATCCTCGATGTTCGGTAGCACGCAGCTGGTAGTGTTTTGTGCTAGTTTTACCACCCTCTGGAGTACCTTGTGCTCTCTGGCGGAGCAGTTACCATACCAGGCAGTGATGCAGCAGGTTCGGATGCTTTCAGTAATTTCACATTACTGAATTGACCTTTAGTTAAGCCAAGAATGAAAGACTCCCATAACTCTTTTCAGTCTGCTATACTAATCTGAAAGCTCCATTGGTTTTATTCTGTTCTTTTTCAAGGTCATTGCTCTGGACAGCCATCTGAGCAACGGCAGCAGCTTTACTCTGCTAAGTCCTGGAAGACTTCTCAAACAGAAAATAAAAACACAGAGAGTTATACAGATATACAAGTCCATAACATTTCCCTTGACTCCTCTTTTATCATTGGATTTGCTTGCCCAACTTTGGCACAAATTTCCAAGTTACTGTTTTTTGTTTTGCATATGCTTTATTCCCTAAACTATCAAGAACCTTTGTCAGCTTGATCCTCCAAACTTTAATTTGCTTTTGCCTTCTATAATGTCTGAACTCTTTAACCTTTCTTTTTGATCAGCTCAATTGGCCCCTTGTCAGTGCTGAGTGTGATGCTGAATCGTTTTCTACTACTGCATCTTTGCCTTATACGGTATGTACATTTCATCAGTATTCTCAAAACCTTATTGATTCCCCAGCCAGTGTTTCAGGCTCTTATATCAACTATTCATTGCAATCATGCCATTATTTGGTTTATAAGCTGCACATTTCTATTATTATTATTATTATTATTATTGTTTGTGCAGTAGCAGTGTGATGCAGGAATACTCACAAGCAGTAATTTTAATAGAAGAAGTAGTGTAGTAGTATCTTAGTAGGAACAGCATGTTAGTGAGTATTGGAATGGTAGTATCAGTGGAAAAAGTAGTCATATAGAAATTCTCATAAAAGCCAACAAACAATACAACTGTGGCTTTCACATAAGTCATTAAGTAAAGTAAAACCAATCTGATCCACATTCCAGTGTTATATAATTTAAAATGCTATTCAAGAGCAAAACAAGAAAGGAACTGTACAGTAGTTGTCAAACCAATCTCCATTAAGCAAATTTAAATAGTTTGTAGTGCTTATCTTCTCCAGCCAGTTTTTCACTGATCAAACGCTTAGTTTACTGTATATTTAGAGCGCATTAAAGCTAGAAATTAATTGCATTCTGGCTTCAATATTTCTCACTGGAGATCAGTATTGAAAAGTGTAATAAATGTTGTGTTGTTTTTCACCTCCAGAGTTAATAGGTTAGCAAATGCATTTTTATTTGTAAAATGGTTGGATTATGAGAGTCTACAGTATATATAAAGCAGCATTTGTCTTTCTAGTGATTATTGGGTTTCAGATTCCAAAATAGTTTATTCCTTAATAATAAAACAAGCTAAACTCAGTTGCAACTGCATAGATATGGCTGTAGCATGTGTACTCAGAAATAGGTATTATCTTCAGAGCGACACATCTGATCTTCAAACAGCAGACACACACACACAAAAAAAGGAAGGTTAGATTTTTATTTTTTTTTGTTAGTTGTCCGTAAAGTCAGATTAGTCTGCACTAGCTATGGTTTTGTAATCCCTTGAATACGGCTGCTTCATATAAATTCCTCTCTGTAAAGCACTTGACGTTACTTGAGGTAAGACAGAGTTATTATATGTTTAACATTATTTTAAGGTTTTAATTCTGCCATGCATAATTTCACTCTTTAATAGCTAAAAATGTTTATTTTCTTGGTCACATTTTTTAGTCAGATAATAGACTGAAAACAATGGAGGATTGTTTTGTGAGAGCACTTTAGTTCTTAGGCATCAAGGGTGGATTGTTTTGCCTCACTAGACTGAAAATTTATAGACCACAGTTGTTTTGTTTTTCTCTGTTCAGATTTATACTGTTAGTAGTAGCCAGCACTTGACCACATGTTTTTTCTTCTACTGTCATTGGGTTTACAGTGAAAGTATACATACTGTAATAGGATAGTTTTGTTTTTCCTGCAGATTGTTGTAACATCAATTAATAGAAAACAGCTGCAGAATGTATTTTTAAAGAAGGTAAATACAGAGTAAATTAAACACACATATGCAATAATGAAGGAATGATGATTTGATACAATGGTATAATCTGGAAAGACGAAAGTTAAGCTTTCTGTTCATAAGGAGATATTTCAGAAAAGGAGATGAGCTGCATGTTTCAAGTGTGTGAAATCTAATAGGTCTTGTAACTTTAGACTTGAATGGTATTATCATAGCAAAGAAGACACTATTTTGACTATTTCTGTGCAATTTAAATATTAAATGGAAACCTAGTTAATTAGGTCAGAACTGAAATTATACTTTGTATCTTTCAAAGATATTTGATTAATATCCTTAATAGTCTTTAATATATCTTCACTATTACTATCACTTTTTAAGTTAGAAAAACGTGACAAAAAACAGCAAATGTTAAAAGACAGAAATTTAACAATGATAAAGGGATAGTTAGAAGTATAGTTGTGCTGCAGCTTATATGGCTGTTTTTTGCTCAATTGTATTCACATGCATGAGGAATACTTTCACATTAAGTGCATTTTCTTTCAAGTTGCATTTGGTGCAAACCAAGATCCCTTATGTACTAGCAGCAAAGCTTTCCTATAAGAAAACAAAAGTAAATCAATGTTCTTTTCAGTGGCTGCCCAATGCTCACATCTAAATCCAATTTTAAATCTGGGGGATTTACACAGAAAAGAAAATGAATTACTACAGATGTCAAAGAGAGCATGGTTAAATAATTCAATTACCCAAGTGTGGAATGACATTTTATCTGATTTTGTCTGTCAATGCCACAGAGGTCATGAAAATGAAGGTGGCCTACTGCTAAATAGTGATAAGGCTGCAAATTCTAAACTTAAACAAATATTAATAGAAATTGTCTTAGGACAATAGCTATCAGCTGTGTCTGAGATTATTATTTTCCCCAATCTCTTCATTTGTGTACTTTTCTGCTAAAAATGTGGGAAGTTTAAGGACTTTATGTATATTAATAAGCAAAAGAAATGACATATCATCTTATTTTTAAAAATAGCCCTGTATGAAATTGCACGTGATGGTGGTGATGGCTGGGGATGGGGGGAAAGATATTTAAAGCTTAAAATACCATGGTGGTTATTTGTATTACCAGTAATGTTTCATTATCACTGTAAAAAAATAAGAAAACTGATAATTGTTCTAATAAGTACAGGAAAATTACACAAGTATAAAACAAGAATTGTATTAATTTTGATCTTATTGTATACTGTATATCACAGATATTAAATGAAATCACATGCACATTGAAATGTATAACAAAGCTAAGCAAAGTTTAAGTATTCTAAAATGTTTATGTCTTTAATATATTATCTTATTACAAATTAAAGGCAGGATCTCTGCTCCTACTATTGACAGTTTGCAGTATGTTATATAACTGATTGATGGTGATGAATTAAGCTTTGATACAAATATGAAGTTAAAGGTATAAATTGATGTGATTAAGTAGTACAGAAATCATAAAGCCTTTATGGAAAAGGTATGTAGTTTAATTGCTTTAAAAAGTTATGTACAGTACATGTGATAAATGGTAAAAAATGTCTGCTTTTACTGCTTTTTAGATGCACCCCTAATATTTACTTGAGATTTTAAAGATTTTAATTGGTTATTTGGCTAGTTACTAACTTTAGTTATTTTTTCCTGTGTGAAAAAAAGAGTGCTAAAGCACACGTTTTCTAAAAACAAAGTCAAAACAATGTTTTTCTTTTCTGTCACAGTGTCCATTGCTCTTTTTCCCTTGGAGTCTGGGCTTTTCCTGCAGAACCCTAGTGGTTGTCTTCCTCAGTTCTTTATCTACTGAAGGCAGCACACTTTTACATGGAGAGGTCCGCCGTTGTCAGATTATATGAGTTGATGGCCTGTCACACTCAAAATACAACTGTTTATAAATATTTACAATAAGTGTGAGTACCTGGGCCCTGCCTTTTACAGATCTAAAACTAAAGCAAATAAGCAAACTATCAGAGAAAAACATGCAATGTACTTAGTGCCTCATGGATTATACAAATACCTCACTGTTTCCATATCTAGGCTACACAAAAACCGACATGTATTGAACTGACTGGTGATTGGATTGCTCAGTGGCTATACAATAATCTATATACAGTAGGTATCTCTAAGTAACATCTGACCTGACAAGTAACTGTATGTATACTTGCATATACTGTATAGATCCCTTATTTTAATGGAAAGAAGTGTTATTTTTTTCAACTTCAACTTAAACCTTTTGTCTTTTTGGTGGAATAAACACGTACTGTAAATATAACATCCACATGGGGACTCAGACAATAGAGGAATGCAGATGGTTGACTATAGTCCCACCACTTAAATATGCTGGCCAGTTAGCTTACAGTTGTATGTAGAGACACAAATACTGTACAAACTGCTATATTGATGGGAAAAAATGCATAAATAATTAAATCATAAAGCATATTGTATAGATGTAATGGGTATATCTTAAGCTATTATATTTCTTTAGCAGTCCATACAGAAAGTGAGTAAGACTCTTTTTCCTCACATTTGATGTGAGGAAACATGAAAAATGACATTTTTTGAGGTCAGAAAACAAAGGAAAGACATTGTTAATAAGTCTATATCAGTCTGTTTAGGTGGGTTGCAGTTTGATAGTCCTCCTTTGCAGGTGAGCAGTGATTAGCTATATTGTAAATTAATGATCTCAGGTAAATTCTGTAAAATATGTTTGTATGTGTAAACAGTATCTTTCCTATAAGGTGGTTTAATAAAATAATAGATAAGCAAGACAAACATATATGTGAAAATAAATAATAATAGCGTACCCCCAACATGCTGTTTTCTAATAATAATATACATTTCTGATCTCTATTCTGATATCTGATGATATTTTATTTAATTGAAATATTGATTTATTTTTACAAGCAGTAAATAGGTGTAGATACAACTAAATAATTCAGCCATCTTCATGACAACCATATACTATACAGTATGTGATTCAATGGATTACAATTATTTGAATTATTTCACAGTGTTCAATCTGTTGCTTTATTATATTGGATCTGCACGCATTTCTAGTTGCAGAGTTTTTGACAGCCTACTAAAACAAAACATGCAATTTCCAAACAGGTCATAAAGGGTTCTGACTCTGAGTGCATTTTCAGTAATATACAGTACCTATTGTAAATATTTCAAACAGTGTTCCGTGTGTTAGTTATTTCCTTGGGGGGTCTCAAGAAGTGTACTTGTTTTATGAACAACTCTACTCTAAAATCTGATTATTCTAAATTTTGTGTACTGTGGAAGTACAAATGCTGTACCACTGTAAAGTATATAAATATAACATTCCATAAACTACTAAGAAATATAAAAGAATAAGAAGCACAAAATGATATTTCTGATAAATTTAACAAAGTTGTATCTGCTAGAGAAATCATAATGAGAAGGAATCCCACTATTTTCCGTCTCAGACTATCAATTTTTTTCCATGACTAAATATAAACCTAGTAGATTTGCCCATCTGTCTCATTGCTCCTTATAGTCCAGTTCTCATTAAAATATTGCATTTGACAGTATT